TCAGCAAACATATATAATTGTGAATTAAAAGTGACAGTTTTTCCTTTAGTCTTATTTTTCCTTTTTGATATATTAGCTAGTATATCATCTACTCTATTATTTTTGGAAGATGATAGCTTACAAAAATAAAAATATTCATTTATTTAATTAATATATACTTTTTTTTAAAAAAAACCGAATTTAATTAATTATCACCCACATCAACATTCCTATGCTTATTTAATCTTGCCAGTCTTTCATATGGCGTCTAATTTAATTTATATATTTGTATTTATATTAAAATCATAATAAGTAAATAAATATATAATATTCAAATTTATAATAAATACCTCAATGTTTTCAGCAGGTATATAACCAATTTCTTCACTTCTTAACACTTTAACTAACCACCAATAACTATTAGAATCATCTAACAGAGTTAAAGGATCTCTTTTCTCTACACTTGCTTGACCTTCAACAATGGCTTGAAAAGTGTGAAATGCATAAACTAAATCAAAATCAATATCTTCATCAACAATTGAGGAGGAGGAGAAGGAATTATTCTCATCTTCGTCCTCCTCATCTGCTTCTATTTTTCTAATATTACTTTTGTCATAGTTGTTGTTATTGGCTGCAGCAGTAATGGTATTTTCTTCATGATTATTATCATTATCATCAACATTATCTTGGTGAATATTTATTATATTATTAATTTTTCTATTAGTATTGATGTCATTATTGTTGTCAGTGTTGTTTATTCTTATTCCACGAACAATTGCATCTGTGTCAATTGTAAAATTATGTTGATTCATTTTTTTCAAAAAAAATTATTTTCTATATTTTTTTTTTTTTTGAATGTAAATGGACATATTGCAAAATATTATTGTTAGTACTATTGACATTATAATAAAAAAAATTTTCTTATTATAAATAAAGTAGAAGACACTGATTTTTAATACTTTTTTTTTATCTATATAAATTATAATGACATTAGTTGAATCGTCTTTAAATAATTGGTATTTATTTTAAACTTTTTTTAAATCATTGGCTAAATTTTTAATATATATATATGGAGAAAACAATCAAAATGCGTCATGTGTGAAGAACAAGTATTCATTCATAGTTTGTGAATTATGTTTTAATTATCTTTGTTACAGCCATGTAAATATAACTTGTCTTCAACACAACCAAATTGGAATAAATTCACAAGCCAACATTACTGATGCTAATAAGAACACAAAATGTAAAAATGAGGAGGATAACAATCCAAAGAATTATGCAAATGTGGAGCACCACTAGTCATATATCATTCTCAAAATGTCATTTGAACAAGAAATGGTGGGCAAAGCAAGTCACAAAAAAAATCAAATATAGAGTTTTGTGTATAAAGAAGAGGCTTAATCAATTTTTAAAAAATGACCAGTTGCTTCCAATTATCAAAGCCATGTTAATGATATAACTTATGAAGGTGCCAAAATTTTAGTTGTTAATCCTTGATCACCTCAACAAACCCAACTCACAACAATTACCTCAAATTGATTCTCAGTTTGCTCACAGAATATTCCAATCAACAACAACAACACTTCATAATAATGATACTCTATCTAATACCAAATGTGATCTCATTAACAATATTCATAGTGAATATGCAATGGACATTAAAAGGTAAAATTTTTATTTTATTTAGAAACTGTATGTATCATATGGTCTTATTTTAAACTTACTTTATACCCTATTTAGTTCTAACAATATAGGAAATACTAAGCCTAGCAGCACAGTAAACTGCTGTATTTTATATCATTGACATTTGAAAATCATGGCTCAAATATAAACTTCATGATATTTCACAATGTTAAAATAAACCAAGTTGCAAATCATTTTTGGTATTTACTTACCACACACCATCAAGGCCTGCAAACTATCCCATAATTGACACTAGAGCATACCACCTACTTATTTATTCTGCTGTTCATATCTGCCATATATTAACAAAATCCACCAGGTGGTTGTAGGTCTTCTTCTTACAAAAGAAGAAATAGGTAATGAATAATCAAGGGTTCATTACCTTGCCCCTCTTTACCATATTCTTCAGTGCTTTGAGAAGTATTCTCACACACATATGGAGTTCGTTTGTTTGATCTGATGAGTTTTTTTAGGTTCCTTCACTACCTGTCATATACCAATTGATACAGATGCTCTATGACATTATTTCTGAAGCTGGTCTTAATAATGGTATGGACAAGATGCAATTTGGCAATGAAGCATTAGTTCAATGGACACATTTTTTCAAGGTTGAACAATTTGGTGATAACTTTGGCTTTTATATTGAAAGAGATAGGGTTTTTGTTAGTATAAATATAAAAAAACCAATTCATAATAATAACAATTATGACAATAATGACAACAACAACAACAATAAAAATTTTTGGAATTTAGATTTAATTGAGAAAAAAGTTGTTGTTTTAGACATAGGAGGGTGCGACCTTTTGCTTCAGCTGACACTAATGACAATATAGCCAAATGCTCAACCAAAAGATATTATTTATTTAGCTAATTTTACCAGAAACAGAAAAAAATGACAAAAATGATTGGATAAGGTATACATACATAATAATACATTATTATCATTCATATATACTATTTATTTATATACATTATTAACTTTCTTGAACCAATATGTCAAATCTTTAATTTGCCAAATTCCTACTTCGAAAACATCATCAAGAGATAACTTTAAGAATTATTTACAATTTATACTCTCTAATTATCAAACTTCCAAAGTGTTCTTTGGTCCAGCCATTTTTGTTTTTTAAAAATTGATAATTATTGTGGAAAGCAGTCAGTCTTTCTGTTGTTGTTTGTCATATCACTGGAAATCCATTTAATGATTTTGATCTGGTGTTGTTGTCACATTTGGTAGTGGAGGATTCTTATCATCATTAAAATATCATGCATCAGGTCCCAAGAAAGCTTTATATCAAAAATGTGATCATGTTTTCAATAAATGAAGCTTATACAAGTCAAGTATGTTTATCTATTTATAATTGAAATGTTGGAAACAATCCTGTCATGTTTTTGTTGATAATAAATACTGAAATAGAAAATAAAAATGGAATATGATAAAGATAAAAATAGGTTGATAAATTAAAAATAAAATTATGTAAAATAGAAACAAAATTAAATTGATCCCGGAATTAAGAGGTTCGGCCAAAATATCTACATTAAAGTCTAGTCCTGGTAACAATATGTTAAAAAAAAAAAGGACTTTTTCAGGATTTTAAGTCCCAAGATAGGACTGTTTAGGACCGATTAATATCTCCAATTATTATTACAAAATCGTGGACTGGTCTATTACACAGTGATTTTCTGTTTTTGTATATAATAGTATTATATAGTTACACGACGAAGTTTACACATTCTACGATTTTGCTATCATTTTGTTTCTAAATTTGTACCAATGGAATCTCAACATATTCCAAAATGGAAAAAATTTTTAGTTTTAAAAGAAGATTCTAATAAGGATGATAAGAGTGACATTACTAAACCAAGTTCCATTAATCAAGTAGAAATTCATAATCAAGATAATAAAAAAATTAAAAGCAAATCGAAAAAAGATAAGGATAATAAAAAAATAAAACTTGAATATGAATCTAAAATAAAAAAAATTCCTGAAGAATTGTCATCAAATGGAAAATTAGGTAAATATATTAATGTATTTATTATATGTATGTGCGTGTGTCTGAAATTTATTTCTCGTTCTAATTTCATCAATCCAAGCTCTAAATTATTTAGTACAATGGAAATATCATACAAAAGATTGGAAATTTCAAAAGATACGACAAATATGGTTACTAACAAATGTTTATAACATTAATATGGTAAATAATTATTAATTATGGTTATAATTGTAGAAATATTGATAATAATTATCATGTTTATTGAAATAGTTTCCTGATGAATTATTTGAAATATTTTTGGATTATTTGATTGATTTGAAAGGATTAGCTCGTGAAGTAAATTGAATTTTTTATTTCTAAATCAAATTTTTAATTTTTTGCTGAATCTCTAAAAATACTAAATAAATTTAGAAAACAATCAATGAAGCAACATCAATATTATCAGAATATAAACACAAATTATCTGGAAACAACAATAATAGTGATGATGATGTTGATGTTGATGATGATGTTGATGATGATGATGGAGATGATGATGAGGATGGTGGTGGTAGCGATAAGAATGATAACAATAATGATAATTTAGAATCCAAATCATTCAGAGCTCAAGAAATTATAAGAATACTCTCCAATTAACCATAATGATGATAACAACAACAAAAATAATGTTATTTGGAGAGTGCTGTGATCAAACCAGACCAGATTCTGACAAATATGTCCCAGATAATGGTATACCTTTGTAAAGTTTATCAAATATCTTTTTTAGCTATAATAAATAAATAATAAACATTTATAATTTAATTCCTTCACTTTTTATTTATAAATTATTTTTATTAACAGTAATAGTAATATATTCATACAACAAAAGAATCATAATATTATACAAATTCCCATTTTCATAATATCATGACAAATAGTTTAGAAGATCATCAACATGGTAACATAAAAAATATTCCCAAACTTAAGTCATGTGCATTTGTTAATATAGAATTAGTAGAAATAGTGAAGCAATTTATATTAAATTATGCAAACCTATATGGATTGCCATCTCCAATGAGAATTCGTGACAATTCAGACCCAATTATTTATCTAAAAACTAAATGTAATTATACTTCAGTTTTTAATGAATATGTAAAAAGCTTTGTTGATAGTTATGGCACTTCTATAATTAATTTAAAATATGGAGCTTTTGTGAAACTTTGGAGTCAATTAACATCACATGTTAAATTTTTAAATTCCTCAAGTGATCTTTGTGAGATTTGTGAAAAATTTAGATTAAAACTAATATCATCAAATGAGGAGGATGAAAAAATTGACATACAATTCAAGTTTGATGAGCACCTTGTAGCTGCAGATTGTGAAAGATAACATTATAACAAAATTATTGAAAAATGTAAAAATGATTTAACACTAACTCACATTTGCTATGATTATGCTCAAAGTGTTTCTGGCTCAACAAGTTGGCTCAATTTATTTTAAAACTCTTTTTGCAATACAACTCTTTGAATGCACTAAAACTGATGGAGGAAACAATTATCAGCTAAATTATACTATAGGCGAAGATGAATTGCCACTAGGAACACCAAAAGGAGCCAATTCAACTCTATGGTTTTCTTAGAAAGAAAAAAGACCTATATGTGACATGTATTTTTAAAAAAATTTAAATTATTGCATATAACAATAAAATGGGGTATGCAGATCAATTTATTATTTCATGCAAATATATACTTTAAAGAAGGTATATATTATATTAGTATGATGCAAATCATTTAAAGACATCACGTGCTGCGCCACTTACCGAAAATTTTATGCCGATCTTGCTTTATAAAGAGCTCTATAGTTGGCTCAGTCTAAAGACCTCCTAAATTTTGGGCAAATTTTAAAAGTATAGAAGTCACTTTCTGTCCTATCTTTTAAAAAAATAGCTCTATTAGTTGATAGAATATGTCTTTGGTTTTAATGTAATAGAGATTTTCTCAAAAAATTATTTGTTGTAGAGTTCTATTCTTTTTTAAAACATGTACTTTACTATGCTTGCGAGGAATTTGTCCACTATGAAACAGGAGGGAACGTCCTATATAAGGAATGGATTTTCACAATTGATTTCAATTTTTTTTATACAGTTTAAAATACTT